ATATATATATATATAGGGATGCGCTCTGGTGAGAATGGTCCTTTGTGAAAGAAATAAGAATAAACTGTATGCATTGGATGAGATGATCAAACAGCAAAAAATGAACCAAGAATATACCTTAATAAAGGATATAATAGTCAATCTACCACCAGACACATTCACGTGGCCCCATACCTCTCTCCCTCACATCATATTATCTCTCACACAGTACCATTCTATCTCTCACACACCTCCTTCTTCACGTACCCTCCCCCAAATCTCTCTCTTGCAGGTCTCATCCGGTCAGCCACAGACAACCTCCACTCGCCACCCCTGCTCCGTCGCCGCCGACAAATTAAAACTCCGCCACTCCGGCAGCCTTGATGTTTTCTTCGATCAATTGGAGGCCATCAAGGACAAGATCGCGGCCAGAAGACCATCCACAGCCGCATGTTCTCCTCCCAACTCTCAACACCTCCGCCGATTTCAAGGACCTTTGGTCGGGAATTCACACCTAATAAAATCCCGCTTCAAGTCCCTGGACTGGACCAACGTCGTCGGTCGCCACCTCCCTAGGTTCAGTCTCGGCAGCTCCTCCGATCGGACACGAACCTTTGTCGTCGACGGCATCCAGAGGAAACTCCATGAGTCGATGGCCTGGTTCAACGATCTGTGGGAGATAATCGGGGCTGAGTACGGGGAGACGGTGTGGCGGAAAATACTTTACCTTGAACGGCGGCAGCGAAGGGGCGAGGTGGTGGAGGTGACGACGGAGCTCTGGGAGAGGCACGTGGAGGCAGTAAAGTTAGAGAGGTAGCTGCACGCAATCCGGACATGATTGTGGTGGTGGAGACCTCATGTGGAAAATTAGATAAGATATGGGGATCTATTTGCAAAATCAGACATTTTCAATAAAATGCAATTTAGCTCACGGGTTAAATTTGTAATTTTCTAAAAAGTATAACAAATAAACAATAATGATAAGTAAAATACACAAATATATATATATATATATTTTTTTTTTTTTCCAAACATCAAATGGATTATAACATTAAACCTCAAACAAAGGTTTAAATACACAAATATCATGTTTGGATATGCGCATAAAAAATACACGTGCTATAAAATGCACAATAAGGTTAGGCTAAATGCACATTAGTACATATAATAATGCACAATAGCATAAAAGTGTGCATATAGAATTATATTATATTTACAATTAATGTAGATATATATTATTTATTTTCGACATAAAATAATGTAAAAAATTTAATAAACTTATAAATACTAAAATATTTTTATAATAAAAATAATTTGATAAGTGCACGGTCATTTAATTAAAATACACGTGATTACAACTTTTTACAACTGTAACGTAGATAAAC